TATTTCTGAGTCGTGGTTTCGGGGTCATTATGAATTGAATATTAGGCTTAACTGTACTAACATAAATAAAAACTGCTGTAAATACTATGGTAGAAAACTACACGCCCTTCCCCCGCCGGACACTAACCGGGGATTTCAAGGTTTCAGGACACAGAAAAAAAATACTAGCGTGGTATTATGGTATAATAAATTCTAAAACGTCTTGCATAACGTAACATAGGTACATCATTCGGATATTGTTTTTGATTGCAGTGGTACCGAAAAAATGATCATAAAACTGTTGGTCATTCCCTTTTTACCCTTGTCGAAGGAAAAACAGTTAACAGCAATTAAGACTGCTTTTTGTTTATCCAGCCAGCGACAAAGGTATTGTCTTCTGTGTGTATTTTAAGGAAATTAACAAAATATATAAATGAAACGAAATATAATTTTAACGACAAAATCTATCAAACTTTTTAACGATAAATCAAACGTATTGTTATTAATTGGTTGGATATTTGTAGAGCGCAGAATAAAAACCTCTATGTTGAATCAGTACTGTATTCTTCAATCTTGACAATTATCTCATCTTCATTAATCAAAATAGACGGCAAAAACTGAAGCAACGGCATACATATGCTTGTTGCTAAATTGAACAGAGATAAAATTATCGTAATTTACATCCCAAACACATCGACTGGCAACCTTAATGCCTTGCTCTTGCATGGGACCAATCACCAAATAAACAACTAATTTGTGCCTTGTAAAACCCAGTTCCTTAACTCTTGCTTTGATGATTTCAGCGAGACTTGCACATAGGTTACCGCATTTACTGTTGTACGTTTCGTTCTTAAGCCTTAGATACAAAGTTTCTTCTACACATTCTTTTACTTTCTTTGTATCAAAGTACGTATCAGGAGATGTCTTGAAGGTGTTTTCAAAATGTTTTTTAACAACTGTTTTTTCTTGAGTCTTTTGTGCAAGTAATCTCTTTGCAACCGTAGACCAAGCAGAAGGTTTTCGTACTCGTGAGGATGTTGCCGATGACTCACCACTTTCAGATGAAACTGTGCTCCAGACATTTACATCACTTCTCTTTGACGACTCAGAGTTAGCTGAAGTTTGTCGATTGGGGAGCTTTGACAATTTCTTTGCCACATTAGCCATTTTGCCGTTGTTAAACAAAAGAAACTATTTAAACAACAATTCAAAATGTTCTATAGGCATAAACACTTATTATATACCGGCTGATGCTTCCTGTCAACGGAATAGTTAGGTACAGCAGTTGATTTTGAATTTGAATAGAAACATCAGTTCCAAATGCAGGCTATTGGGCATTGTGTTCCGTTATGACAAGCAAAATACATGTTTGTTTGTTACAGTCGTCTAGTAACAAATTTTAAGCCCGGGTCTATAAATGTGCCTTATATCAGATCGATGTCAAGTTTATTCCAAAAATACAAAGGGTATATGTGTATGCATTCGATATTTCTCCTAACGGTATTTAAACTAAATCCTACCTAATTTACGAAATGGGATTGTCAACGAATCCTATTTAAGATTATCCGATTAATGTAAGGTCGAATGCAATCGACATCTAATCAATAATCGGTAGAACGTTTGTGCTTTTAACATCTTACCGGTATAAGCGACACAGACCGCGTCAATCAATAAACGGTAGTACGTTTGAATTTTTTTTAATAACAAACCTGTGATTTGTGCTTTTGCTAAATGCGTAAGGTTTGCGGAACAGAGTTAAAATTAGATTCGGTAGTACGTTCGTACTTTTGGCATCTTAACAGTACAACCGAGAGAACAAAAATGGCACAATATATGGAACTAGCTGTCCGACCCTATCTGAACAGGGTGGCCTTGCAAGAATCGCGGCATCCATTCGGATTTAAAAAAAAATGTTTAACAAGATTATAATAAATAATAATCTAACAATCACTTAAAAAAACATGATAGAATTAATATTGTCCTCAACCTTCTCATTATCGGCACTACATCTCATTCCGTACAAGTAAACAGATTCAATGTGTATTCAGAAAGAACCGATTGCGTAATAAATAGCGAGGGCTAATCTGGAAGAAGCAGCTAGTTTAACTTTTTTTAGCCCATTACTGTACGCCTATGTTTTTCTTTTTCGAACGTCGAATAGCATGGATGTTTTAGTTTCCTGATTTTCAGTTGTACTGTTAGCCTATAAGAAAGTATAATACATACTCCAAGTATTGAAATACACGCCATCGTGTTGGGATTCAATATTTCGACATTAATTATGTCATCATCAGGAATGATGATAGGCTGTTAGCCTATCCAGGCGGGTCTTATTCACTGACATACAGTACTAATCACTGTTGTCAAGCACAATGCTGTAGTCAAAATAATTGTCAAGCGCATTGTATATACTGTATAGGCCTAATGCAAATTATTCAAAATGGTAACATAATAGGGCAGAGAGATTACGTGCCACAGGCCGAGACCATAGACTTCTTAAAATTATATTTAAAGCTTGAGATAGAGGGTTTATTTTTAAGATCTAATGGGAGGGTATTCCAAAGTTTGGGACCAGCATGTAGAACTGAGGATCGTCTGAGTTTTGTCGTGCATGTGTCAAGTGTGTAATTATTCGATGAAAATCTAGTATTGTGTGTGTGACGTTCGGTGGTTTTATGAAATAGAATGCTAATATGAAAGGGTAGAGTATTCTTAGATATTCGATACATAAATGAAGCAATCTGGAATGTATTTAAATCATAGACATTAAATTTGTTAAACAATAGTTTGGAATGAGAATTATATGATACCCCTCCACAAATTCGGAGAGCACGCTTTTGCAATTTAAAGAGGCGATCAATGGATGTGGTTTCCAGACTTGTCAAGGGGCACAGGGTTTCAAATTTGCCAAGAGTAACGGCCCCAACTTATGTTGATGTTATATGTTGTTCTGATAACAATAACACAAAATGTGCTTCAGGTAGGACAATTATAGTAAGCCTAAAATTAATCTCGACCAGGAAATCAAACATGGGGCTCATACTCAGAATTGTTCATGTTCTAATTATGTTTTGTGCACAAGATGTAGCCTACTGTAACTACAGACACATGGCACATTGATTTACTATATTTCATAGGTTATAACACATTTTACACAGCGTGACGGATGTACAGTGACGGACGTACAGAAAAAATGCATGGTTTTGCTAATTAGTATAATTAATGGTAAGCTTCCAATTTGCTGTATACACTTGGCATATCTAGTATGCTTTATAACAGAGTTTTGGTAATTTCTTTGTACCTGGTTAAGAAAAGGAAACAAACAAATGTCATTTCTCTTGTGAAGTACGTACATCCACATTTTTCATCATTTTTAAATATTTTAAAAATATGGCATTAATTACAAGAAATAAAAAAAAAATCACCCAATTACACAATACATACTAATTCTTTATTTTAAATGAAGTGTATCAGATTATGATATTTTACAAGGGAAAAATTGGAAATTAAATTTATGACTATATCTTCCTTAGTATTTCAAAGTATTAATTAATTTTATTGAATTCCAATTATTTTCCATGTGGTTAGTGAATTCTAAATTTGTTTTTTATTTCACAAAAATATAACTCATTAGCTTCAAAATGATGTATCACACATACAGATGCATTTTAAATTTTTACCATTTGGTTTACTAACTTACGAAATTGCCCATATGGTATCACTATGGTGTGTGTGAAACAAAAAGTATGGACAATAAATGACATTTTTGCTTTCAAAGAACAAAAAAACTTCACGGTTTTTGTGTCTAGTTCTATAGCATGATTATTTTCATAAAAGAAGTGCTATATGCTTTGGTAGTTTGAAGTGTATGCTAGTTATTCATGATTTACATTAGCAGTGAGTAATATGAACTGGAATGTAAAATGTTGGCTCAGTATTTGTAACATTCAATGTGACTGGTGAAAATTGGTTGATAGTTGTTAGGAAAATAGGTAATACAGTATATTATTTGTGTTTATGCAGTATAAATTCATACATTATTATTATCATCTATTCAACCAACACTACTTAGTAGTAACTTTAACAAACTTATTGGCAACATTAATGCTTTCAATTTAAAAATGTAACCTCATTTCCATCACCAAATCTGGAAAATCAACTACTAAAATATGATGTCATTTGACAAAGTACAGTACTTCTTACATTCCATTTTCTAAAAAATATAATTACTGAAGCCAAAAAAAAAATGTACAATCTATGACAACAAATAAACTACCATCTTTTATTAAAGCAAATCATATTTAACTACTGCAGATGGTAATTTAATTTCTAGCATATATTACAGGGTTTTCTCATCTACATTTAATTTTAAAATATTAAAAATACCACAAACCTGTTACAGTAATAAATGATTTTTTAAAAAACTGAAACAACAAGTATGGGATAAAAACATTAGAATTATATATTAATATGTAAATATTTAGTCTAATATATTGTTAACTAATTATCCAATCTGGGATATGCATAAAATATATCAGAACATTGATGGTATGGCTAATTAACTAAATGTTACTGAAATATATCACAGGAATTTGTTAACACATCTGGAGCACAAATAAACCAAAACATTAATGAGATTGCTTTATTAACAAGTGTGCAACATTAATAAACAATATCACAACCTTAAAGATGTATTGTCCCCTGAAAATGACAAAAAAATCATAAAGGATAATTTCAAAATTGACTTTTTCATTTTGCAGTAACATACATACAATTAATTTGAGTGTAGATATTAACGAATTTATAAATTGTCTACCCTGATTTTTATACTGGAAACGATAATAAAAATAATTTTTTTAAAAATCAGTGACTCTTGTTTTCATCATTTTGATCTGTAAAATAATGGGTAAACATTTTAAAATACTGTATCACCAATTTCTATGTTTAAGTTGATAATTGCTATGTGCAAGTTAATTTCAAAAATGATTTTAATGATTTTTGTTATTATTTGGTGTATTGCATCTTTAAAGATATTGTTTTATTTTTTTAACAAGCGTCAAACATTAATAAACATTAAAGATATGCTTTATTAACAAGTATTAAACATTAATAAACCATACCACAACATAATGGTATGCTTTATCAACAAGTGTGGAGCAATATAAAACCATATCGCAACATAATGATATGCTTCATTAACAAGTTTGGAGGATTAATAAATAATATCACAACATATGCTTTATCAACAAATGTGGAGCATTTCATAAATAATACTAAATGAAAAATCTTGGTAAAAAAAATCAATGATAATAAAACTTGGATAAAAAGGTTAATTATAAAATTCAAGTAGATTCATAAGCAAATAATCAATGATCAAATGAGAAGTATGATAAAATCCAGCGAATATGCAAATTTTTTTTATAGAATCCATTTAATGAATATATACACTGATGATAAAATTCAGGTTATGAACATGCAAATTATTGATAAAATTCTGATAATGAATATGCAAGTTCATGATGGGATTATCACTTCTCTACTGACCAAAAATTTAAACTACAAGACAAGCTATTACAAATGTTAATGCTATTAACCTACATAATATTCACTCAAAAATATTTTCTGTACATAGATAATATTCAAATATAAAATTTTCACTACAATACAAATATTCTTTTTTTTTTTTTTATTTTTTTTTATCAGAAAACAATGATTACACCAAAGTGGAAACAATAATGATGGTAAAAATAAAAATTGGTAGTGGTAGCAGTATTAGTATATAATCATTAAAAAATTGATTTTGATTTTATTTCATAATATTTGTATAAATATTAATTTAAATATTTTATTAATATTCAATAATAGTAATAAAAATAACAATAGTTGTAACAAAAATAATAACAAAAACAATTATAACAAGCAGTAGCAGTAGTATAGAGATAGTGGTAGTGGTGGTGGTAGTAGTAGTAGAAGGATGAGAAGAAGTACTAGTAGGAGGAAGAATAGCAACAGCAAACCTATTTATAACAATAACATCGACAAAAATAAAATAGCAAATAATGATACACACTTAACCTCTGGTAAGCTAGCACCCCTGGGTCCAGGGAAAGTAGTTTCTCCACGGAGGTGCTACCTTACAGGACTGCACAACATCTGAGGTCGGAACATAATGTGATATAGGGCCTCAGGTACAGATAATCAATACAACATAATATTTTATCATTACTATACTGATTCAATAGCCTTTTGTAATCCAACCTCCCAAAGCTCAAATTCTGTTTACCTTCATTAACATGTAGAGTGGACTGTGTACACATGAGCATGTGTTAATAAACTTCTTTTTTCTTTTCTACTTTGTAGACTAGTACAACTCACCGTATTATTAACACTAACAGTGTATTGCTCAGATGTTTAAAGATAACAACATTAAAACTCTAGTAGGCCTAGTACTGACTAAAATAGATATAGATCTTAACATGTACACTACTTGTTACTGTAATATGTAATTTGGAACGTAATAATAAAGTCATTGAATTATTAGTTATCCCCTTTTATGTGAAGTTGTGTTCAAGTTGTGTTCTGGGATGGCCAGTTAAAATATCAAAGGAAAACAAAATTTTTAAGCCCAAAATTTTGATCAAAAGAGGATGGGCAAGTGACATTAATGTAGTTACTGAATGGGCTACCAAACAGGTCACTTCAGATTTAGATTTGTATTCAGATCCGAATATGAATCTTATAAAGCTGGCTGCACAGAGACTTTCAACTGTGTTAACAGCAACATAAAGGTAAAGCTTAAAACAGTCCTTCACAGAACTATTGATGTGTAGTGTACCACAAACCTCTTTGTAACAACAATAATATTAAATATTACAACAATGATAGTGCAGTAATAATTAACAACAATAGCAATAATAATAATTAATAATAATCACATAAATGAGAGTACAGTATAGTAATAATACACAATAAGAATAATAATAATAATAATAATAATAATAATAATAATAATAATAATAATAGAATAATAGTAATCACAACAATAGTAAAAGATCAATCCAGTAAATTTGTGCTTTTTATTTATAAATGTGTAATGAATTGACACATGAGAAAAAATGATACCAAAATATATACACTATACCAAATAAGTGTGTGCTTCTTTTAATTTACAAAGAACATTAATTATAAGAGATAACTTGAGAATGTATTTACAAAAGTTAAACCCACAATCCTGGACTGCATTACTGTATTTACCAAATTGAAGGCACAAAGGTTTGCAATATATAATTTCGAACTATGTAAAGACAGTTTTTCCAAGAGATCTTTGGATTAGCATAGCTTTTACATACAGTTTCTATTATTTACTATACAAAATGACTAAAATTTGTTCATTATTTTAAAATATTAAATTATGAATTAAATGATAATAAATGTACTGTAATATGATAGGTTAACAAATCTCATGAAAAAAAAAAGTTATATGATCACAACAACTGATATGCACAATTTAAATTTTACACTGGATTTTCTTTGGTTTAGAATAAAATCTGATAACAAATTAAAATACTTGGTCCAATATTTTAAAATCTTTAACAATACATTCAATTCCAGATTAAGTCTAAGGTACAACCACCACTACATTGAATGATTTATTAAATGTTGTGTGTTTGGTAATTGATAATCATTATTAGTTACTATTCACCTAAATCAATCACATCTTGAAACATCTTTATATACCAGAAGAAACATGTGCGCAAGATCAACCAGCTGAGACCATGTTAAATAGGTGAAATCAACTTAGCATCTGGCATTGTGTAGTGTCATCGTAATGCTGAACGAGCAGTATGGTGCATTCTTGGACTTGTTCTTGTGCCACTGCTGAAATAATAAATAATTGCATTAGCTATACTGAAGAAGCTCATACTGTACAACCAACCTATTAGCTTCAAGGTTGGTAGGCCTCTGTTTTTACTGCTATCATAACTGGGTTTTTAACTAATATTTGGACATTCTTCCAATTTAAAAAAGAAGTTTACCAATTTTACATAAATTAACAAAATCAGGTATATAATATCCCATTTTTGAAATTATTAATCTTGTTAGGTTAACACTTCTCAACCAAATTTTTGATGACAAAAGGTGCATCACTCCATCCAAGTTTAGCTACAGGCCATTGTAATGCATAGGATTAGGATGATTTCAGACAAGTTCTTTGCATTATGTATTATACCATAATCAAAGAATGGCTAATAATAATAATAAGTAAAAACGGGAATACACAATATGTTAACCTTCTGGAGTGGAGTTGAATGGAGTTAAGATGCTTGCATTTCTTCTCCTCTGCATCTATCATTAACCGAGTACGTGGTCTCTTTTTTTTCTCCTTTGGGCCAGTCATGAACTGAGTACTTGGTCTCTTTCTTCTTGCCTGGGCCTATCATGAACTGAATACTTTGTTTTTTTCTTCTTTTCTAGGCCTGTCATAAACCGAGAACTTGGTCTTTTTCTTCTTCTCTGGGCCTATCATGAACTGAGTACTTGGTTCTTTTCTTATTCTCTGTTCCTATCATGAACAAGTACTTGGTCTCTTTCTTCCCCTCTGTTCCTATCATGAACTGAGTACTTGGTCTTTTTCCTCTTCTCTGTTCCTGTCATGAACTGAGTACTTGGCCTCTTTCTTCTCCTCTGGGCCTGTCATGAACCGAGTACTTGGTCTCTTTCTTCTCCTCTGGGCCTGTCATGAACTGAGTACTTGGTCTCTTTCTTCTCCTCTGGACCTGTCATGAACTGAGTACTTGGTCTCTTTCTTCTCCTCTGGCCCTGTCATGAACCGAGTACTTGGTCTCTTTCTTCTTGTTTGGGACTGTCAGAACTGAGTACATGGTATCTTTCTTCCTCTCTGGACCCATCGTAAATCATGGTCACTTTCTTCTTTTCTCCTCTGGGCAATTTGCATTGTTTGCATCTTTTTAGCTATGTTCCGACAATCAATACTATCCAATGAAAGTTAATGATTAATCCAGTCAAGGTCGCATTAAATTCTATCGTATGTCTACACGAGAGTTACACAGATAGTTATAGCACTTTAATACACTGATAGGTTGAATATTAAAGTGATTTCTTTTGATCTCATGATGGTGTTTCAATAAAACAAAGACAACAAAACAGAAATTACATTAGGCATAGGCTAGGTCGATTGCAAAGGCGAGGGCCTTCCTTGGCTTAGCACTCCTTTGGTAGGCCATCCCAACTATCGATAAATAAAAGGCATTTAATATGTTTAATAATTTAATTGTTTCATCTCCACTTGGTAGAGCATTCCGTAAAAGCGAAATAACAGACTCTGAGTTTTTTCACATAGCCTAAGCCTACCTATAAACATTAAGATTTTCGACAGCTTTATCGTACAGATGTTATTGCAATCAACATGTGGTAAGCCAATTAATCAGTGGGGTGGTCTGACGTTCCTTCCGATGAGAGCCTTGCCAATCCAGTCATTTGTCGGTGTTAGCATGCGGGTTGAAGCGCATGTTTTCTATCAGGTGATCCTGTTCATACGGTCGGTGTCAGCCTCGTAACAAGCACTTGTTCGATATTTACGATATCGCCATGAGTAACTTACACCATCGGAACAAGGCTTATGTCATTTACTTGTACTTTACAGTTTCATCGTGTAGTAGCAGGTCAATTTTCTTTATATTCAATTTACATGACACAAGGGAATATTTCTTCCCATTCAATTTTCAGCTGTTCAGTATTCCTTCTGACTACTCACTGGAATGTGTTAAAGAATGCATGAATTAAAATATATGGACATTTTCTGGATTGATGACTTTGACTTATGTTACTGTATTTTGTTTTCTTTTTCACAAGCTTCAGGGGCAGATCCAGGATTTTAAAGGGGTGGGGGGGGGTTCAAAATGGTTCTAAAAACACCAAAACTAAAGGGGGTACTCCCCCGCGAGAACTATAAGTTCTCCAAAATTCAAGGTTTCCCTTCTTGAAAAAGGTCAGGTAATTTTATCTCATTCTTTAGGCCTATACATAGAGAAAAAAAATCAAGGACATAGGCAATATATTTATTATATTCCAATATTGAGTAGTTGGATACGCCGTCTTTCTTCCATGAAACCATGAACCGATAGGCATGAAGAACGCACTTTCGTACATAAATTATTAGGACGTCGAACAAAAAACAGTGTGTATAATTTTATTGAATTGCTGGCTAGTTAAGCTAAGCTTAATTTGTCTGATCTGCCAACGCGTAGGTAGCTTAGCATGCTTTTGTAAGCCAGGACTAATAGTATTTTGTTATGTTTCTTCACAGAGGACACCCCCTGGATCCGCTACTGAACACCCCCTGGATCCGCCATTGAACACCCCCTGGATCCGCCACTGAACACCCCTTGGGTCCGCCACTGGTTTTAATATGTTGTGAAATGCTAAAAAAAAAAAAAGGTTGATATTTTGTGTATTTATTTTATTTTCTATTGTAATTATCTATGCAAATACACATGTATAACATCATCCAATTTTCGTTACTTTCCTTCCGATGCATAGATTTAAGAGTATAGAGAAAAGGATTACAAGGCCTATATTTCTCCATTGCACATCTTCAAAAACTGCTTAATACTAAGACTTAGTGCCTGAATTTGGCCAAATACTAAGCATTCATTGATTTTTATATTAGTTTAATACAGTTACAGTTACTTGTTATATTTGACATTCTTATGGTAAATATTAGTGCTTTGTGGGCAAGGAAAGTAATTTCCAATATGATTTTCTTTCCTCCTCCCCCACCAAATAATATGATCTATCGCTTTAGTCAACACAGAGCAATCACTTATCACATCAATACAAGACAATACATTTAATAAACAAACTCTTTTCTTTTATACTAAAAGGTTTTGTACACTAGACAAAATACATGGATGTAAATGTTTCCTGATAGTGTTTCTCATTTAAAAAAAAAATTATAATCCTATCTCCAATCAGTTATGAGAAAACATTTACCCTAAAAAATTGTTACTTTCCCTTTACTTGCATATCCCTCTCCATCCCCCGCCTCCCAGATTTCAGACGTTGTCACCGCCAGTGACAATAATCGGCAATGAAATATAAGTACATGTTTTGATACCTTTTTAAAGCAGTATTGGTTGCTGCTGAGTGTCGCAAGCCTCGTTTAATGCCACCGTAACAAGGAGATGATGAAACAACCTTGGAAGACTTGAGAGGAGATGTAGATCCTGAACATGTTGATGAGATTCTGTAAACAACCAAAATTAGGAAATTTATCAAATCATAAAGCCGGACACTCACTGCGTCGTACGACCGTCGCACAAGGAATCCACATTTGCTTCCGGAGAGCGATAGACGACGCTGTCTGCCGATTGTTAGTGGCAATCTGAACGGATCCTCATTAAAAAGACAATCCGTTGGATCCGCGTCTTCGTGTGCATTCCTCGTCCCGTTGCTGTCGCACGCAGTGAGTAAAAGGCTTAAGACAATGAGAAATATATGAATTTCAAAATTATGATCTTTTTATTCAATTTTTATTTTTGTCATTATTCCAAACTTAAAATTAGGAATTTTGGCTATGGCCCTCCTAACTCTCACGCAACTCCAATTAAAAAAAACAAAACATCAGCCAGATTTGAACAGAGGTCTTAATAGCAAGATGGAACATTACCTAACACTCAGCAATGTTCTAATGTTCATTTCATTACATTACATCTATTTTATTGTGCTTTTGTATTGGATTGCTGCATATTTGTATTATGATTTCCTAATAAAATCAATCAATCAATACATATTTGGCAACAACATAGTAAAAAAAAACAAAAAAACAAACAAACAAAAAAAAAGCATTGCAAACAAGTACATGACACTACACTGAGCTGCCTAGTCTAACAAAAATAATGTTATATATTTCACCATTATTGTAAACACTAATAAAAAACAAGGGCAGAACATTGAATTCTTTCAATAAAACAAATCTTATATAT